CAAACTAGAGTTAAGTAACCAAGAAGTTGACGTTACTCACTGGCTCGTGACGCCGTAAAATACTCCACTTTCGTCTTGGATGTTACTATTGAGATCAGCCCAAAACTTAACGAGGAAGAAAGCTGCTTGCGGTCCTTTATCGTAAAGTTCTTTAAGACCGCCCTTCTTTTCCGGGAATTTGTCATATATCTGTTTAACATCGACCGCTTCCAATAGCGGATCGGCGTATGTCGCGGAACCTCCTATATGGACGAACAGGTGTTTGTGGTACTAAAAAAAGAAATTCACATATGTAAAAGAATATTCATGAACGTACTTCAATTATTATATATTATCTTCATTTATCTGAGAAAATTAATCTTTGGATGTGCTATCAATTTTTCCGTTTTTTGCTGTCTATGAATCAGCCTTATCATTAATAACCGATTATTTAAACACGATATTTACAATATTATTTTTGCCATGTTAAAATCTTTCGTGATTATCAAGCTATATCGATATAATCAATAATTAGCACTTTCGATTATATTAATGCGACAATTTTTAATTTCTACTTACTATTTGAGATTAAGTAAAAAATTATTATCTATATAATAATGCTTTAAATATCATACATTTATATTATAAGTACTTAAGATATATTTAAGTTATGTTTTGGAGAATTTTTCACATTTTTTTTATCAGACATCAATAAAATATAAACATACTAGATTTTATCCTTGAAAAAAATTTCTCAAAGATATACGACACTTTTGCAGAATTTTTTGTAAAAAAGCAATATACGTTTAGACTATCTTGAAATCTTCTCAATTAATAAATTACGATGCTGCTTACAATCTCCTGTTCTCTTTGTTGTTCCATGTAGGCCGAAAACTCAACAAGCCTGAGCTTGTGAGTCGCGATAGCACGTCCTTCCCATGGTGGTGCAGGCTGCGCTTGGACCAAATCACCGCTCGAGACTGCTGTCGCAGGTTTTCCGGTGTAGGCAGGCTGAGGGAAGGGTTTGACATCCTGGGACGTTCCTGGTTGCAGGCCTGGCTGCCAAAATTGCTGAAAGTATAGCACGAATTTGTATCTAATGGTAATACTCTCACATGAACAATTAATGATTAGTCGATTTCCACTCGCCTGATGTTTATTAATAACTAAATGACTAATTTGTTGCTATTTAATGAATAATTGATGCTTTAGTTACCGAATAGTCAAATAATAGTCAAATTTGCGTAACAACACAATTTTATTAAAATCGTATAACTAGTAAATACAAAGGAAATAAATTGAAAGTTGATAGTTTTAAGCAAAAAAAAAAGGAATAGATCCGTTTCTCTTAAACTATGGAAAAATTTTTACAAAATTTTTAACCTGCATTTTCAAAATCTTTCCGAACAATCGATCGTATTTACATAAATCTTTATATAATATTACAACTATTTCAGTAAAAAAAAGTTTCCGTAAAAGCCATCGAGCCGTCGGGCGAGGAATGAGCGATAGGAAACAATGAATAAACACAAGTAAAAGAGAACAACAATGACAATAACAACAAAAAGCTAATGATCGTATTATTATGTAAAGAGAAAGAAAGACAGTTTGATAAGCCACAACGAACATTTTTTTATTATGCAGATATGTCAAATGTAACGCATACACACTTAATTTGTATGTATACGTGTCGTATATAGGTAATGCCTAGGAATACATATGTACAAGATTAGAGCGATGGACAAATTCAACAATACACAACAAGGGCCCCCAGGGGCAGCGCAGCAGCAGAGAGCCAGGGGAGATGTCACTTTTGCGAGGGATGGTTAGTTTTCAACGCAAAAGCTTTCGCGCCATGAAGAAAAGAGAGTACACGATTGATCACGGAAACAGCTTTCTCTTGCTATTTTCCTCATTCTTGTTTTATAATTAGATGCGAAAAAGAGCACAAAAGAACAAAACATAACAGCAAAAAAAGCAGAAAACCTAGTTAAGGAAACAAAGGGAACACTATTCACCGCTTCTAATTAGTTAATATTATTTTCCCTCTTTTCTTTTTTGTATAAAACGCAGGATACACAGAAAAAAACCTGATAATAGTTGCCAAATGTTGAATGAAATAATGCCAATTAAATGTTCGGTTAATATAATAATATTACTTTCTTAAATATTTAATAAAAGAATTATCAAACAGTTGGTTATATTATTATGTTTGGTAATACTTATTGAATATTTAGGAAAGTAAAATTATTTTTGGTTATATTAGCCGAACGTTTGATTGGCATTATTTCACTTAACATTTGATAGCTATTACAGACTCTTTTCAGCATAGAAGCAACACAGTTAAGTCAATCTTAGATACGAAAGCAATTTTTTTCAATTTTGAATTGTCATTGTTCGCAGATATATCATTTTCTTTCAACGTCAAACGTATCTTCGATATATTTTTAACAATGGTCACATAAATTTAAATTATAATATAATATATTATAATTTAAATTAATATTACATTGTGTGCAAATGTTAAGGTTAAATATTTTTACTGAGATCAAACGATTTATTAATTGTGAATGCACATTGTCTTTAAGTGCAATGTTGTTAAGTTAGTGCCATTCGTAATATCTTTGGTATGACATTTTAATTACACGGTATTATCTCAAACTCTTGTAAGACACAAAAAAAATTTATAGGTCAGTCGACAAACCATGGGCATTGCCTTCGATAGGCGGATTAGCGGTTATCGAGCAAAGCGCTTGAAAACAATCACAAACTTCAAAAGAAGAGGCCAAATCGGCAATGCTGATAATAAAAATAAAATTCGTCAAAGACTATATTTTATGTTTTTCCTGCGAGGCTTTCAATCTATCGATATTATATGAATAACATCATATAAATCAATATAAATCGGAAATGGATTGTTATTTCGTTTTAAAATTACATTATATGTATAACAGTCACTAGTGTCACATACAAAAATTTCATTTTACCTTTTGTATTTAAACAATCAACATTTATCGTTTGTACAAATTCTTTCATCGCCTAAAATTTGATTCCATTTAAAGAAAAAATCCGTATATAATTTTTGAAAATAAACTATTTTAAAAGTTATCTTTAAAATTTGCCTGGAAAGTTTCACTAAGAATTTGTGTAAAATCGATCTTTGACAACAATGAGGAGTACAGCGCTTTATATGTAAAAATCGATTGAAGAAATTCACAATTTAAAAGTCAATGCAACGATTATAAAAGCGAGAGAGATTGAGGCCGTTTGTTTTACTTAAAAGCGATTCGTCATGCGAAATCACCAGTGCAGTGATTAACTTAATTAATTCGCATTTTATAGAGTCGTCTCACCCTAAAGCTCGTGGCTGTTTTGAAGAGAAAGACCGACAAAAAAAAATGTCTCAAGGGGTTCTCCGAGATCAGGACTTACCGCTCCGGGATAGGAGACAGGGGTGGAAGCATGAAGGGCAAGGGTCCCGCCCATGAGGGGCATCTTGTTGTGTATCGCGCTTCCAGCTGATACTATTTGGGCGCTTGACATGCTTGACATTGTCTGGAGCGCCTTCTCCTTGGCGGCATGATCCTGACAAATTTCCAGACCGATTATCACGCAATGCCAGACGATATGGTATCACATTATCAATATATGATCCCCTAGACTACGACGAGGACTCGAAATTAGATAGATTTTAGATTGGTACATTAATACAGATGCGCACTCGGAGAAAAAAGAAATATTTTTTATAGTGGTGAGAACTAGGAAACATAGAATACTTATATAGTTGTCACCACTATGTTTATCTTTTTCTCTGAATGCGTTAACATGTGTCTCAGGAGCGATTTTTAAACATCAATTTTTTAACTCAGAATAGATTCCTCTTTTGAAAATATTTCGACAAAAACCAAGTTTCTTAATATTCGTATCTTTACAAATTTATATTTTCTACATCTGTATAAATGAACTGTGAATACACATATATTATTCTAAGAAAGCAGAAACTCGTTGAATTAAAGTAAAAAATGTTACTGGTACCTTAACGAATTGATTAAGATTAAGATAAATCGACTTTGAACTGCTAAAAAAAAATTTAATTATTATAAAATAATACAGATGCACGTTTCTTGTAAAAATATAAACTGCTGAATAATAAAATATGTATATGTATGCAATTATTAGGTGTTGAACTTAATTCCTGCCGTTTTTGGTCTCCAAAATTGATTTGTTTCAAAGGGAAGATAAATGAATACCTTAATCAAAGTAATTTCCTCCATTTTCTACTTTATTACTAATTAATAATACTTTATTAATAATACTTTGATTAAGGTATTTCCCTTCGTAACAAATCAATTTTGGAGACGAAAAACGGCAAGAATTAAGTTTAACACCTAATAAAACAAAATTGTGAAAATGTTTAATACAAAAATTTATACATTGATCAATTTTTCAATATTTCTGAATCGCAATATTTCTGTGAATCGTAGTGCGCATTAAAAAAAAAAATTATAATTATTTTTTCACTTCGTGGAAGGACAAACGCAATGTGGCTCGAAAAATCAAAAAATTCGAGACATTTGGGACTCGCGATATCAATCAACAGTCAGCGGATAAATTCGTAACATTCTCAATGATGCGAATCAATTTACCGCTCCCGAACGCGCGATTACCAGCGACCCTTTTTTCTCCCTATCTCCCACGTCCCCCTGATATTTTTTTCCCCCGGTCCCTCGTTCATCGCGGGTCGCACCGCATGCGATGAAATCGATCGCGATCGCGCAGTGCAGTTGATTGCAGAAACAACAGCAGCGGCGGCGAGTCCGGTTGCAACAGAAATTCGCGGGAATTCGGCGCGCTTTTATCGGAAAGCCGTCGTTTTAATCAGCGCCCGACCGAAAATCGCTGACGAGGCGAACGAGAGGTGGTTCGTTGCCGTGACGTTCGGAAAATTGCCATGCCCACCGCCACCACCATCATCCAGTCCCACACCGATTCATCCCCGCGCCCATTCGTCTCGCTCTTTCTCTCTCTTTCTCATCCTCGTTCCCACGAGAGCACGGGGATTTTCAATTTCGTTCATAAATCCGTAATGGAGGAGTCACTACGAGTGCCGGTCGACCGGAATGAAGCGCCGCCCGCGTAACGATGCGAGCAATAAAGAATTTAGCCGACGGTGCGACCGAAAATCACGGGTTACATTTTGCTCTCGACGTTGTTTACGCCCCTCGCGTGTTCGCTTCGAAATACACAGGGTGAGTATCCTGAAAAGCCGACGCCGCTGTTCCTATTACCTCCGAATTTTTCGATCAATTTGCAGGCGAATTTTGTTTAATGAAATTGTCGATGTGTATACATCAATAGTGTATTCCTAACTTGGGAATAGTTGAAAATAAAAAAAACTCGCCCCGGATTGTGTGAGAGAGAACCGTGGAACTACAAATAGTTAATAAAAATGTTAATCCTCAGTTAGTTACATGGACTCTGCTTTAATAAAATTTTAATTTAAAACTTATAACGTTCAAAAGTTAAAGTTGTCTAGCAAGGCATTTGTCTTAAATTTAAAAATGAGATATTATAATGATTACGGTTTGATGTTGAGCAAATACATATAAATTAAAATTAAATTTACAAAAATTTCAGTAAAAAGGTCCAACGTTAAATGAATTTAATTACCACAAATTTTTTTACTTGGCGGTAATAGTTCAACTAAATTAAACAATTAGTGAGATAGAAAAATTAATAAAACAAAAAAGTAATACAATTATTCGTTATATAAGCAACCTACTTCTATACGATTTTAGTACAAAAGCAACTAACTTTTTCTGCAACTAATTTTATTTATTAAAACATGCTAATAAAATTTATTATGTACAAGACAATTAATAGACAAATCCGGTAAAGACAATTCTTTGTAATTAATGAAATATTAAATAACTATAATGCAAATAGAAATGTACGGTAAACACTATTAAAATTTCTGTACTTTTATTGATAATTCTTTTATTAAAATGAAATAATCTCAATTTTCGCGAACTAAAGTTAGAAAGGATTTCGGAAATGCGGCCAAGTTATAATGCATATTCATTACAGAATTTTCGGGGTCTTCCTATCATAATTTTCATAATATATATTTTTAATTATTTTATTTTTGTCAAACTTGTAGCAACTTAACCTAGGATACAATATTTAATTCTCTTGAATTATACAAAACCGATATGATGTTACAAAATTCATTCCAAAATCATTATTATTTTTCTAGAAGATCACTTAACTTTTATCCGAAATACCTTGCAATGCAATCGACGCAACATCAGGATTGGTGAGATTAACCGGCGCGTAAAGTCGATTTACAAAACGGTTGCGCGAATTTCACCGGATAGAATGTAATTTTTTATGAATGTTGGATGACATCGATTACCCGCGAAAAGTCCATTTCGCTGTGCGGGCCGTTGTTCACGTTTGTGCGGAGCGCGCGCTGAATTTGCAGCGGAAAATCAATTCGGTTAATTGAGAGGGTGCAATCCGTGTCGTTTTTTTTAATTTCCACTCTTCGTCCCACATGTCGCCCCCCCCCCTCTCTCTCTCTCTCTCTCTGTCTCTCTGTCTACTTCTCTCTCGCCCTTCATTTCTCGAATACACGCCAGGAATGCAGAGGATTGGGCGGGTAACGGGGTTGGACATGTTTATCGACATTCTGAAACGCTGCTCGCCCGTTTTTGGGCACCCTCCCGCAACCCGCTCCTACTACTACAACCCCTGCCCCGTTATCGGGAGTACGTTTACACCGCAACAATTAATTACGCCGTAATGCCTGGTGCAATTATTTCCAAAATAGATAAAACGACGGACGATCTCGATAGATTGTGATAGTTGGTGTAATATCGGTTTGATACGCGAGCATGTAAAATGCACAAGCATAAAAGTTAAATCGAATCCGCATGAAATAAAATATGCATCGTTAATATAAAAGAAAATGATATAAATATGTCGGAAAAAAAGATGATGAAATTCAAATTAAAAATTATAGATTATTTAATTGAAAAATTAAATGTTTTCATTGCAAAATTGACTATAAAGTGAGAAAAAAATTCAAGTTGACCTTAAAGTCCGTTTTTTATTTCTATTATCTATAGTGGAAATGTGTAAATAATTAGTAGATAAATTATTTTGAAAGTAAAATAAGCGGTCTTAAAATTTAAAAAAGGAATTTCCATTTTTATTCTTAATTTATTCATAATAAATCTATTAATATCAAATATCCTATGAAATTCATACATTCTAAAAAAAAAGGCCGATAAAATTTTTTCTAGTAGAGATCTCCAATGCTTATGATCCTCACTTATTTTAGTCAATTTAGTTACATTTCAATGAGATAAAGAATTTAAATGAATATCATCTTGTTAAAATATAATACGAAAGAGAAGCAAAGAGCACGATTTACGTAAGACAGTACCGGTGCGTGGGAAGCACGAACATCGCTCGCGAAATTCTTTTCCTCTCTGACCGAATAAATCGCACGGTTCGCGGCCGCAGGAAGGGAGATAGCAACCCCACCTGAGCAACAAGCAAAAGTCGCGGCGTGGTGCGGCATTCACCCTTCCTGAAACGCGAAAACCAGAAAATTACGTCACGGCGGACCGTACCACCCTCCCACGCTTGCTACTTTCCTGAATAATGTTCGCGGTATGCGGCCACTGCAGTTGCAGTCGCTGCAGCTGCGGCTGACCGTGCTTAAAAACGGAAACCCGCGCAAGTATTTCATAAATGGCATCGTGGCACGGAACCGCGCGCGCGGAAACAGACGACATCTTATTACGCGAAAGTCGTGAGCGCACGAGCGTAATTAAAATTGCTCGAGAAACGCCGGCGTTTTCCTGAACTCTTTGGGAAGTCTAAGAGCCGAGGTACAATGGAATATAAAAATGACAACGCGGAAAAATAAAGATATTATACAATACGTTACACGCAAAATTACTCATGCAAGACAGTATCATGTATGAAAACGTGTCAAAAATTTACATTTAAAAGATTATGAAGGAATGCTGATAAGCATTATCATTTATTGCAACCAATTGTCTTTGCTAAATCTGAACATAGATAAACTGGATTAAAATTCACTTGAAATAAAAAATAAAAACGATCAATATTCTTCTATTTGTTTTGAAAGTGTTATTTTTGAAAAAAGATTATGGTTATATTACAACCGCTTCAAATCGCAGAATCTTTCATTGAATTTCGCTAATTATATCAGTATCGGAGAACCAAGTAATACATTTACGCAATAATTAATTATATCTATCAATTAATTCTTGGGGATAGTAAAAGAAGAGCGGTATAAACGCTATAAATTATATTTCACCATCCGTCTATTTAGTAATAACGTCTAAATTGCGCGAAATATCCGAAAAAAATTTCGGTTTATCGTCGTCGATTAAATGGCAGTTTTTTTTCTACGAACGAGAGTTTTGCCGGAGTGTTGCATGCAATCGCACGGTTAATTTACACGTTCCGCTTGTTTTTCCACTCTTTTCTATTCCGAATATTGACCGATCCAGTATAAACAATACTCTATTTCTCTCTCTCTCTCTCCTCTCCCCCTCCTTTCTGTCTTTCTCTCTCTTTCATGTCTTCTGTCTCCCGTTATTTCACCGCCCATCGGCGAAATGGAGGCACCACCGATTGTACCGCCCTGCTTTGATTTATTAACCGGCACGCAATTGTTCGCGAATCGCTTTAATAATTCAGCTGTTGATTAAACGGGCAAGGTTCATTTTTACGCGTGATTTATCCCGCGCACTGCTTCTCTCGATATGTGTGTCCCTTGATATATGTATTTCTCCCTCTCGATGAAAATGATTTCACAACGGCCATCGCCCGCTAATGCTCACACATCGCCAATCGCGATTTAATATCATCACTACTACTCACCGAGACAACATTGTGCAAAACGCGAATACAACAGAATTCTGATTATCTCAACGCTGAACGTTTCGATCGAGCATTCGATTGTTTATAAAAAAATGTCGTTTAGTAAAGACATCTTTTTCATGCAGAATTTTAATTCGTACCGAGAAAATCCACGTATTATTAATTGTATTAAAATTTATTAAAACAAAAAGGGAAGAAATAATGCACATTACGGGAAAGAATATTTTTATATCGACACCATTGTATAATAAATTAATAATTAATTAATAATATAAAAGATGATACTTACAAAATTATACATTATTTAATTAATATAAAAAATAAAATTTGAAAAATACACAATTAAGCAATTATCATTTTGTTTCAACAAATTTGACTATCGAATTTTCAATATATCAGCTACACAATTCAAAGAGAAATAAAAATTCACCGCACATGAGATTCAAATATCAATTCCACGTGCCAAGTATCGCGTTTACGACACGCGCAACATTTTATTCAATATATTATCAAATGACACGGCGTGTCATCAAGTATTGCGATATTGTTAAATGAATAATCGTACAATCGTGTTTATTCCGCATTTCATTATTATAATAATGTGTCATGTTAAACCGCTATTGCAGTTTATTTTAGTAGTCACAATACGTCGTATTTATACAAATAAACAAAATTTATATTATTTCGAATGAATTTGTTGGTTGTCCCTCCACGAAAGAGGCAAGAAACGCGATCGAGACGCACAACGTCGATGGGTAGGCTCGGTGTGATTGAAAAAGGTTAAAAAAAAAACCAACGATAGAGATGTAAAAATAAAAGCGCACGACTAGGAGATAAAATATATACTCACCACTTTGAGTTTTGCCTGTATTTCCCGAAGTTTTCTTCTCGCGAGAACCTGTATGTGCGAGGATACTTGTTTTCGCGTTCTCGTCTTACCGGTCCTCAATTTGATATAACGGGCGATCAGCTCGTTGCGACCTGTAACCAGCGAATTATGTGCATACAGATCAGTGTTCTTTATCAATAAACCGTACTATTATACAGATATTGTTCATAAAAGAATAAATCACGTAACCAAATATACAACCAGATGCATTTAGGTCAAGTAATATTCATCCTATTAATAATTTAATTATGATTCATCAAATATTAATTCAAGATAAACATAGCTTCATGCATATATTTATATTTCAGATATTGCTTTAAAGGTTGAAATATAAATGACTCGAAATATTCCTATGTTATTAATGGCAATTAAAGACTTGTAGAATTATAATAAGTGAGAAGTTTGCAGAACGCGATTTCTTCAAACTCTCCTTTAAGCTCGTTTTTCTTTCGCTTCTCATTCTTCCAGGTAGTTTCAAGAAAAATCTGGACAACACTTCGCATAAATTCTGATTTCCATGTCGAGAATAGAAGCAAACAATTGCGATATCCGCAGAAGCGTCAGAATCGGTCCTGGGAAATGAAAGTTCCGTGATGAAGATTGCATTCTCGCGAGCCTCGAATACGAGAATTCCTTCTAGAATTGACGAGAAGCAGACCGGACGGATTCAAACAAACCCTCGAGCAAACCGCTCGAAATAGGCTTTGAGAGCTGCTTCGCAGAAGCGCCAGATAAAATGCGCTTTACGATAGAGCTAAACCGTCGACGTATTTAATTCAAGCGATTGCATTTTAAACTAGCTTGAGGGACGCGCAATTTATCTTGTCTTTATTAGGTCTTATCTATGATTTTTTAACGATTTTATTATCATATCTAAAAAAATATAATATCGATATTTCATGATTGTTTGCATACATTACAACTATCTTTGTATACATTACAACCAGTCAATATAGTCTATCTATCAGATAATTCAAAATTATTATTCTGTGTACTGAGAAAAAAATATGGTCAATTTTAATAAATATTTAGTTCAATACTGTCAACTAAACATTTACTTACAGTAAATAAATGTTTGTTCAGTAAAAAAAATAATTGTTAAATCAAATTAACATTTCTTGTATCAAATAAATATATCTTTATATTTAATAAATATTTAGTTGGCAGTATTCAATTAAATATTTATTAAAATTGATTAATTTTTTTTTTCAGTGTAGTTGGAGTAATTTATGTACACATACTTAATATCTTGCTTGAGTCTTTTATTTACATTTACAACAATGTCTCTTTAACTTTTCGCAAAATATTTATATATTATAATAAAAAAAGTAATGATTTAAGAAAAATATAAAATCTTAAATCAGAAACAAATCTACATAAACACCTATATAAATATTGATTTTTATGACTTTGTTCATATAGTGATTTAAAAATGATTTTTTAAATAACTGTGAAGAACAATTAGAAGTAATTGTACAGTGTGAATATTTAAACAATAATTAACCTACACAACACAATTCACCATTGTGGCAGATAATGCAGATTATCTCGATATCATGGATGGCGCTAATTGGCGAACGATTTACTGTAATCGCGCGAAAAAGCGCAATTTCGGTGTCGCACGCGTGGAAACGATTTTCGCGCAAAACTCGTGGCTAAATTTAGCGGGTGATAAAGTGCACTCGTCATAAATTCTAATTAACGCGGGAGCGCACGTGGAAGCGAGTACGGGACGGCGGTCTGAAGCGTCGTTTGGCGACTCAATCCAGCGGATATCCACGCGAAATTACGCGGACGCGTAACGCGCGACTCGGGTTGATAACGAGCATAATAAATCGTAATGAGCCGAAGCGGGCGGGAAGTGAAACGGGAAAGAGGCGGGAGAAACGTCCCGTGAGACGAAACGAGAAAGAGAGCGGAATGCTTTCACTCGATTCGCGCAGTTACACGTGAATATAAACCGCTCGAAACTGCCGATAACGAGAGACGACCGATTTCGAAACGGTGAAAAGAACCGAGAATCGATTCGAATGCACGGGGACGTATTCAGGTTTCATCGCGTACGATGAAAATCCAACGGCCTCCGGATTTAACAACACGAATATTCCATTTGCGCGCTCCATTCTTTTTTTTTTTTTATACAACAATGTACCGCGTGCATACATCGTGCATAAAGTAAAATCGGAGAAAGAGGGAAAGAGAGAGATGAGCGGGAGTGGAATGTTTTGTTTTTCTGTTGATCGGAAGCAATGAAAAATATAGCATCAAACTGCGGCGATCAAAATCTCAATGTAGAATATGAGGAATAATTTCCAAATGTGCGACTATCGTTAGCGTAGAGCTAAAGAAAAAGACATATAGATTTTCAATGAAATACATTATTAAATTTCGACGAATTACTGTATCCACATTGATTTTAATTTTCTATGTACACTTGTTTGAAAAAGCGCGCAGTATCAAAAGATTGTTCACGTGGTCAATTTATTGCTTTCTAAATTTACAACAGTTCAAATTCCGATAATTTTGCATTTTTACGTGCACTCGTGAAAATATTTATAAATATTAGATTATCGAAATTATTTAATCTCCTAGCTATTTTCATAAAATATACAAGTACAACGGTTTAAAGCAGAATCCTCTCCAACGGACAAAAGGCGAAAAAACTCTTCTTCCAAGCCGTTCTTCTCGGACCGGAGTTCGCAGCCGCGTGCCGTAGAGAGAATTGGTGTTGTGTTAACCGCTACCACGCTACGCATTGAACACTTCATTGAATGGTCAATATGTGATGACAAATGCAACGTAACCGTTCGACAAAACAAAGGAGTTGTCGTTGTGGTCGAGCGCGGGGGAGTTCTTCGATGAATTGATTTCCGGCCGATTGGACCGTGTAAACGGCGTTTCTACGCGCCACCTTATCGCCGCTTAGATTTCACAGCCGTTAAGGTTTTACGGTCACCGGTGACCGTAAAACCGGCGCCAGACGACATCAAACGTGTCGTAATTGAAATAACGTTTAACCGTACGGTAAGCAGAATCACGCCGGAGTACTTCGATCCCAATGGATAAACGCGTGACGAGCCGAACGTCTAGAATTCTAACAACAGCGTGGGAAGTTGTGGCTTTGATATCGCAACTGATTTGAATTCTGTTTTCGTAGGTACGTGTTCGAATAACAATCACACGTTTTAACATCATCTATTTTGTACGTCGAATTGTAAAAGTTTGAAATTACATATTAATTACGCAGATATTGAGAGAATGAATATTTGCATCATTTCAGGGATTACAGGAATGTTAAATCAAATATTTCTCTTTTAAACGCGCATGCTGCTGACACGGAATTAATTGCAGATTCATATTGACTATCAAAGCACTTTGGCGGGGAGTGAAGAGGGATGAAAATCGCAACGTCCTGGCACGACGCGACACAACCGCCCGCCGTTCTTCCCGTAGGGCAAATAAATTATTTCCCCGATAAATCTCCAAGTTTCGCGGAAAGTTTCGGAGAGAGATTACCGTCTTGCTTCCTACGGAAAGACTCGATTAAGAGTCGGTAGTGGCGAACACGGCTCGCTAAATGATTCATCGTTACTCGAGCGACGCAATATGTCGAGGATAAACACGAACGTCGAGAAGACGAAATGAAACGACAACGCCGAATCTCCATCCGCCACTCTTTTTTGCATTGCAAATCGCAACTCATAAATTACGGACATTCGTCTTCGTCCCGGACTCTACAAATTGTGCAGACGAATATTGTTGCCGCTCAAGAAATTCGCTCAAGGATGCAGACGTTGTTTGTAATATAAATGTACAATCAATGTCCTCTTGCGGTGCTGACGAGTCGATCGTGACCGTAATGATTCCTACAAAAGCTAAAAATACAGAATACACAGACTACGGTGAGGTACATTTTCCAGTTCAATATACTTTGTAACAAACAGCGAGTCCCTAAATACAGAATACACAGACTACGGTGAGGTACATTTTCCAGTTCAATATACTTTGTAACAAACAAACAGCGAGTGCACCATTTCTATCACACTGACAGATATCATTCGAATTACTAATAACACAGGTCCACAATAAAAAAAAGTACTCTGTGCTGGGGTGGAAGTTCAGCTATTCTTATGTATTTTGAGTCATTGAATACGAATCTGACATCAAAATAGGACCATCCTGGGTAAATTTTCAATCTAGAATGAAAAAATGACTCATTTTTCCCATTTTTAACCCATTTTTTCGCTCTAGATTGAAAATTTGCCCTGGATGGTCCTATTTTTATGTCAGATTCGTATTCAACGACTCAAAATACATAAGAATAGCTAGGTCTCCATCCCAGCACAGGGTACTTTTTTTTTGTGAACTTGTGATAACTGATTGAAGATACTACGAAGAATTATAAATTAAAAAAAAAGAACAAAACTTTCCTTTAGATATAAAATAAAAATAATTCATATACAAACGTAAATGCATTTTAATTAGATAAATTTCGTGATATTTTATGAGTCAAAAATACGTTATGGATACTTCATGTTTCTATCCTTTCTCGCATGCAGAAATTATGAGAGGAATATACAGTACTACGTGGGCAAAAGAATTCGGGCAACGTCTCGCGGTCGCGTCCCCAAATTTGTGCTTTCTCGGTTATTCTCGGAAATTCGAAATCCGCTCGCTTCCGCTGCGAATCTTCCACAGGAAGTTGCGAGATCGCGCGGCGGAGGATCGCGACGACGAGGATCTATGAGAGTATGCTACCTTCGTCGGATAGTAACGTAAGAGGGAGGAGAGATGTGCAAGAGTCTGTAGTAGGGGGTACGACGAGACGAGAGGGGGAGGGGGGGAGAGGTGGTACGGAGAAGCTGAAGCATCGGGAGGAAAATATTCGAGATTCCAGGGGAACCGCGTGATGACTCAATTTCGCAAAGACCGTTAAATGGCCCGCTATGAACCATGCGCCACCGTCGACCGCGTTCCTTCTCTGTTTTTGAAGGCCGAACATTCTTCGTAGGGGGTCGATTATGCCGGCTTAGGCATCTCCATAGAAAGCCACAGACTACAAAGAAGAGACTCGGTTTATTTGACTTTTCCT